CACCGCTCCCACTGTCCATGTTTCGCACCCGTACAACGCCGTGCTCCAAACATAATTATAAATTATAAGAAATAATCATTTTCGCGGCGAGGATTGTGGATTACGTATACCTATTTTGCTGATTCATTTTTGTGACACCTATTCGACTTTTTTGGTTCGTATTCAAAAATGATATTTTGGAAACAGCTGCATGCCCCCCTTGCAACAGTCTCGAGCCCCCCTAGGGGGCGCGCCCCACAGGTTGGAAACCAATGAGTTAAGGCGTGAAACCGACCACATAAAACTAATTTTTTTCTATCCCTCGGGAACAGTACTTATTTTCTAGATCTTTTTTGTATTCCTGACAATGTGTGAACAAAATTTTATGATGATCGATTGAGTAGTTAAGGCGTGAAATGGTAATAAACAAACTCACATTAGAATTTATAAAATATTATTTAGGATTAGCATCTTACCTTCAGATGAGTCCCAACTGAAAGTGGTTCTAATTCGGCTCTGCTCATCAATAGAGAAATTATCAAAACGTGCTTCCTCTATTTTTACATTTTCAAAAATTTTATTTTTATCATCAGTTTGAAACCATTTCGTTGGTTCACTGGGTCCATATATTTTTTTGGATACCGAAACTCCCCAAACTCTAACTCGATATTTTCTACCTGCTTCTAAGTTTTTCAACGAAAACCTATTGCAGGGGGTCTAAAATGAATGAGACAAAGCTTCTTAATTTTAAAAGGATTTCCCTTTTGCACAATTTTTTCACCGTTTCAACGTAAATCCAACTGTCATCTTCCTTTATTTGCAGTTCTATTATATAAACTAGATCTTTGATAAAATCCACATAAAATCCTACTTTACTTTCGTCCTTGCAAACTAGCACGGGAGTTGGGAGTGTGTAATTGAGAAAGTGGAAATCTTAAAAAAACAAAATCATGATACATACCCACTACAATATTGGTAACTATGTGGAAAACTAAATTTATTAAAAATTGTTTTTTAGGCTTTACTTACACATATGTATGTATACCTACATACGTTCGTAAAATTTATTAAAACAAGAATAAAATCCTTGAACAGCGAATTTTTCCTAAATCAGTGGCGTAACAAAAGTTAATAAAAATATTTTTGAGATCTCGTTAAAAGAAAATCGCATAAATATTTGAACCTTTATGGTATCCTGTTTTACAATTTATAATTGTTTCTTTGTACCTTTCTTACTTCCTACCTTTCACATTTTGTCCAGTAATACATTCACAGTTTTGTAAACCACTTAGCTCGCTACAGTAATTGAGACGATTCTGAAAAAAAAATGATCATTGGCCAAGTTCATGTTTTACTTAAGAACCTTTTAGCTAATTGTAAGTTATAGGTAATTCAAAATCTCATTCATATTACACATTAAGAAAAGATTGACTACCTCACTATCCTCGCAGGATGTATTTAAGGTACTGTTTTTCCTTATAAAAACTTGCGCCCTTAAATACAGTCATTTCTAATAAATTGTAACGAAACAAACAAAAATAAAAAGTAATCAGTATTATTATTATTATGTTTTTCGGCTTTTGATCACGTATGTGTCATTTTTAGCTCTGCTCTGAAGATGTGAAATGCAAATCTTACGAAGCGTTAGCACAAAATAAAGTCCATACGAGTACGACCCGATCATTATTAACATATCATACCAATTTTTAACACCAAATGTTGAACTTTTTTGCATTCAGATACGTCAAAGACAACATTTTACAATCAAATTTACTGTTAAATGAATACTTTAGTTTGCTAATGAGATCTAAAATATTGCACGTCTTTATAGAATATTTCGAAATCAAATTCGTATTCAATGCATTATTTATCGAACCATTTATATTACCATTGAGATGTTTGCAAGATTTGATCTAAATTTTATTAGCATTGAATTAATGAATTTTTAACACGTTGGTAAGTGGGGAGCCTTTTTTTCTACTAAGAATCTATACATATAATAGAAAGTCGTGTTAGTTACACTATTTATAACTCAAGAACGGCTGAACCGATTTGGCTGAAAATTGGTGGGGAGGTAGCTTACAACCACGAGACGGACATAGGATACTTTTATCCTGTTCCCGTGAGGGGGAGGAGTAGTGAATGGAACATATATTATTTGTTGTCAGAATTACTTGAAACTTGGTCTTAATGGCCTCTCACATTTTAAAAAATTCAACCGCCAAAGGGGAGTGTTACAATTTTTGTTTGGGACATACTTTATTTGTGGTTGAATTTACTTGAAACTTAGTATATATGCATTTTGATATCATTAATCAAATGAAAAGAGGTTGCAATTTTTAAAAATCAACGTTTAAAGGATGAAATGTTGTTGCTACGTTTATATTTGAAATCTAAGATGGACATATTACATCAAATTAAAACGGGAGTTAAAAGGTTTTCTGGAGAAACAATATTAATCTCTGCGAGCCAAAAGGTAGTATTGTATAAAATGGAAGTAAAACTTACCAAAACCAAATTGTTGTAAAAATAATTCTCGTGACTTTGTGTAAGGTTTTAAAACAAGAAATTCATTTCTTAGATAAAGATATGTATTTATAACCGACTTCTCTAAAGTAACATTTTTTTATTAATGCATATACGTATTTCGATTATTCTCCACTATCTGAGTTCTTACTTATTTGAAAGCAAATACAGGCCTGACGCTGGAAGCTGGCGGAAATTTTAAAATGGCATGGATGCGCGGTGGCAAAAGTAGGCAGTTTTAGGTATTAAGATTGCAGCCCTCATTCTTCAGTATTCCTATCAGGGGCGTAGATTAAATATTTAAAAATAGGGATCAGTGAGGAAGTAATAGGCAGACAAACAGAAGAACTAATTGTTGATATTGGTGACAGTGATAGAGATTTCCATGATGAGAGTGAATGTGAAAACTAACTATAAAACAAAAGCAATAGGTTAATTTTTTCTTCTTGATATGTCATGTTTTTACATTATTTTCTAGTACGCTACTGTCCTATCTGTATTAATACTATAATTTACGCCTACTGAAAGCTTATTTGTGTATCGGTTCCAAGTGACTTACCCAAATAGGTCATAAATGGGCAAGTACCTGCGCGACCGCTCGCCAGCTTCCTTCGTCAGACCTGTACTTTCAAACACAAATGGTTAATATTAAGATAATTATTACTATAACACCTACGCACGAGTCTTTTACAAATAGGGAATATCACCAAAAATTTTATAACTATATGTATGTCTTACATATCTAGGTTTTGTGTAAGAAATGTCACTTTTATCAAATTTTTATAAATAACATAAATTTCTTGCAGCAGTGAAAGAAAACTGATAAAATTTATTACGTGCGTACGTATTTCACAACTATGACGTTATTTAATTTTTAATTATGTTATTATTAGATAAACAAAATATCATTAAACAATTGATTTTATCAAAAGAAAATGAATGATGCATAGAATTTGTTATTATTAATGAGCATCAATCATGCTTTAAGATAAATACATTTAAAAACTTACCTAAAAGCACTGTATGATATTTAACATTTTTTAAAAATAAAAACTAAATAAAAAAAGTTCAAAAAACTAATTTCAACATTAAAAAAGGGCAAGGTCTCGATTAGTATATCCGATCTCGTTGTAATTTTGATTTGCTGTGCAATTTGCTATGATGAACAAGAATACATAGGTATAAACCTGTAATATATTTTTGTTGGGCGCGAAAGCCAATTCATTGTATAGTTTTTAGCTTCGATAAATTGAAAATCAGAACTAATTGAATCTAACTCAATCCCAACCCAACTTAAGGCATTTTTTACAAATGCATATTCCTGTAAACACTTCCACGATAACATCTAATTCGTTTGTATTGTTTAGTAATGAATTGGACAGCATACTTACCAAAATTTCAATGAAATCGAAGGTGCGTATACTAATCGATACCTTTAGATAAAAAATCATTGTGTAAGGTAGTTTTATCTATATTTATCAAATGAATACTTTGTGCGATGTAATGCTTGAAAATCAAAAGGAACGTAAAATTTTTTCTTGTAAACATTAAGCCATCGAAAATCTAACTGAAAACTTACATTTGGTGTATTAACTTTTATGTGGAATTGCTTTTTCTTGTGTTATATAAAAAATTATGGTATTAAACTTAATTCACAAACTAGTCAAGCTGTTTACTCACTTCGTGCGATTTGTACACGGTACAAAAACACACATAGAAGCATTCACGCAAAAACTAACAATTTTTTGCTCGAATATTTCTATACGGAGATAACGATGTCCTCGACAGTCCTCGAGCAGCTATTGTGATACTGTTAAAGTTTTATTGCAGTATACATACACGAAAGTAAACTCCCAAATAGGCATTTGAAAGGATAACAAACAATAATGTTTACCCTTACATCTATTACTGAAATATTTATAAAGATACCGAATTCCAATAACATACTTCACAAAAAAATATTGTTAACTGACTGTGAGGCAAACTTGATTATTTAAAATCATTTGTTTTTACATTTTCTAAAAAAAAAACAGAGAAACAAAATAAAAGACATATTTTCTTAGCAACTTTCACAGAATCTTCAACTGGCGTGAATCATTTTAGATTTTTGGCCTTGAAACTTTCGGGGATGAAGGGGAATGGAATATTGATTTTGGGAAGTTTTGATTAAAAAATTAACAAACTATGTGGTGTCATATTAATTTTTCATCTGGTGATATCTGGTTACACTCGATTTTCTTGAAAACTACTCAACGTATAAACTTGAACGGAATGTTACTTAAAAGGTAAACAAGAACTCAAAGAAAATTTCTTTTTTACGAAATAGCTACCATCTCCAACAGGTACGTATATATTCCTAATGATACAATACGATAAGATAACACATATTTGTCCCTAATATATAAACTAAACATTAAAAAAAAGCACGTTTAATAGGTAGAACTTTTCCTAAAATATTTAGGAATATTGTGTCACTTCTATTTGTTAGATAATTTATAAGAAATTCATAATATAAACAACACATGATAGGAACCGAAAAATTGAAAATACTTCAGAAAAGTAGGGAGAAATCTATTATTCATATTATTGTAATAATAAACGGATGTCTCAAATTATTTTCATTTTTGAAAACTAAAAAGATATTGTCAATTTACCTTAATTTGAATTTTCAACACAGCAATTTTTGTGAAGCATAATAATTTCCCAAAAAAAAAGAACAACAGAGAAATTTCACCAAATTGATTTATTGCACTTGACATTACCGTTTCGATCTAAGTAATCATTATCAAGAGTAACTAATTAATCACTAGTAATTAGACTACATCGAAACAACATTGTCAAACATAGTGATGAATCTTTATTTTAATGAAGCAAAAACTAGATTAAGGAAATTATAAAAGTTTTAGAAGTATTAAACGTATTATTTGTCAACCTCATCTAATATAACTATTCGATTATAAATTCCTATTTAATTTTCTAAAATTTTCTCGCCACGGGAGGTATACGCGGATCCCTTTGGATCTGAAGACTACCCACGGCGTTGCTTCTTGTACAAAACCGACGCGTTCGGCAAAAAAGTGATAGTTACTCGTAGCAAGTATTTAAAAAGTTAAAATGCTATTTTGTAAACATAAGTTTGATCAAGCACATCGTGTTGTCTTTAACAACCAACACTCAATTAAAAAAAGAATAAGAAGTAAATATACTGACCTCCAACAGACAATTCCACGTACAGAAAGCTACGTTAATTGTTTTGTTGTCAAAAGTACGAGAAATTCCCTTCTCACAGAGTCCAACAAGACTAACGGAAAGTAACGAGCCAACAATATGAACAAGTTTCATTTTTAAAAATCCACTGGTTTACTTTTCAAATATGTGTAACGTGGTTCGATAAGCGCGTGTTAAAACAACGTGTTGACCATTGACAACCACATCGCACACCACCGATGACCCAGACGATACTGACCACATTGCTCTCCATCGATAATATAAACGTTGAAATCGATAAGCGATAACAGCCGACAGGTAAAACATTGCCGTTGACGTCTTAACAAATTAGAAAGAATAGTAATTTTGAAAAAAATAATTGCCCTCATCCGCTACGATTGACAGTACCGATTAGTCCCTGTTCTAAAATATAATATGTGCAAGTTAAATAGTCGGCGATCTACATCAAAATAAAAACGTTATTTTCTTGTTTTAGAGATATCGAAGTATTCACGTGAAAATTTTATAGAAATCCATGTAATGTTCTAAAATTCGTTTTCTACGATTCCATAGCTCGGAAATCATAATTCTTTTTCACGGAGAGATACGATCTCATTGGTCCAAGATTTAAATTGATAACCCTTTCCTCTACAATTTATTATAAAAGAGGGCATAAAGGATATACTCATTCTGCCTTGTGTCCCTTTTTTTTATTTTTGATACAATCTGACTAAGGCTCGAAAGAAAATAACGACGTCCCTGTAATAAATTACGAATAAAACAAAAATTATAAAAATTAAAAACAAAAAAAAAACCTTAACTTTACATAAACATTATAAAGTACAATCAAAGCCTTATGTTAATAATTTTGTTCAAACAAAAGTTCTACACTATAATATAATATA